GGGGGTATGGCCCATCTACACAGTGGTAACTTATATCACTGAGCCAGGGGGTACCAATTCCCTAGCCACAATGTTGTTATTACAATTTTTTTTCATCCTCAACCTCCTAATGCTGAAGATAAGTTATGGAACCTTGTCTGCCTGGTTGAGGTTAAGAATGTACATAGCTTATTTTTTTTTTATGTTACTATAGCTTGCACCTATCAAACCATATTCCACTTGTGCAAGTTACCTCCTTTTCTGCCCATTTTGAATTTATTTCCTACTTCCTGGGCAAAGAGCATACCTGTTCCAAAAGTAATATGGTACCCCACAGGTGTGCTTCTTTTTCATCTATGAGCACACTCGTTCATTCTAGGCAGTCGCTTTCCACTTAGTTTGATAGTTGTGCACCTCCATCAGCCCCTCCACCTTGGCAATGTGGGATTCTAGCTTTGTGTCAGAGGAGGTAAGACCATATTGGAAGTTAACATTTTTCTTACTTTGAAAATGTATTTCCCTTAGGTACTTACCTTCTATCACACACACTTCATCCCCACTGTCGGTATTCTCCTTTTGGAGCCTGCCAATTCTCGAAAGTGAAGATTGAGCAGGAATATCAGAGGGAGCTAGTTGCACCAGTATATGTGGCACAATACTATTGGTGGAGAGTAGTCACAAGATATATACATGATCAGAAATGGCATGAAATTGATGGGGTATATACACTAGTGCACTGATGGTGAAACTTTTTTAGCAATTCTTAGAGAGCAGATGAACATCGAGATAGCTTTGTGTAATTGGAGGTAAGTATCCCTTGGAAATACATTTTCAATGTAAGAAAATATCTACCTCTAGTATTTTTTAATATTTTTCTTTACCTTTCCTACGATTTAGCTTTTCTATTCTAATTTCATATAGTGTGGACTTAAAGTCAAAAATAATTATTAGAATACTGAGCACAAACTACGTTACATTTTATTAGCACAAATACTTTGATTTGTGTTTTTCTCTCATGGGTATTGTGAAGTATTTAGTCAAGATATTAAATATGCAATTAAGTAATTGAACTTTGAACTTATATTTTAAAGTTAGTATATTAAATATTATACATATGGTTGAATCTCCATGCTTTTTTTATCACATTAAACTCGTATGTTTTGTTTCATAGTTTTTTATAAAATTCTAGAGAAATACTTGCCAGTAGTTTGAACTATTTTTTTCTTTTGCCAACAGGTCAACACAGCTGTTCTGATAAGAAATGCTCACCAAAATGGAACAGAAACTTCATCACTAGCCTTTTCGTATAATGGTAAACATTTTGCCACAAGAGGAGGTAAGTACATCTTTCAGTCAATATAAAACCTACACTTTTTGATTATATAAATATTATTATCTCCATACAAAGACAAAGTAACAAATGTTAGTTAGTTCAAAATAAATTATTCTCAAACTTTTATTAATGCTTTCTAGCCTGATGGCATCATTTTGACCTCTCTTACATTTGAATTAATAAAAATTAATGACTCTGAAATAAAATTATATCTGAAACATAAAAGCTTCAAACAGACATAAAGCTTGATCAACATTTAATGTTGTCGAACTTCGGTTAAGAAGTTTTTGATAAATTTACAAAATAAATTAAAAATCACTACATGATATAACTGCATACCCTGCTGCTGTTCAATATGTTTGTAATGATTGGCCTGAAAGCCAGGTTTCCTACATGCTTATTAGCAAAATAAAATCACTGGACTAATAATTAGTATGCTAGCTCAATTTTTTTAAAGAAATTTTGCAATAAATTGTTTTATTTTTTATCTTTACTAAACCTTATATGAATAGATTGTATTTTTCTTACTGTATAATTTTTATTAAGGTTGCCTTTCCAGTCCTTTTAGAAATTATCTACAACTGTTTCAAAAAAAACCACTCCTAACTTTTCTGAAATCGTGACAGGGCATAAGATACCATTAGTTTCAATTACTAGTAGGAGTATTTGTAAAGGGAAAAGGAAATGCCAAAGTAATTACTTCAACAAAATAAACAAACGAGCAGGAGAATAAATTTATTACCATTACATATTAAACAACCGAGGCCATGATGTAATTGGATTGATGGAAGGTTCGTGATTACAAGACTTCTGATGCAACAAAGGAAGGTGTAAAAATTTGCAATCCATATGAGGAAGAAAGGGATTTTTGTGACAAATAGATTATGAGTAAGAAAATAAAACAAGTTTTCCAATGATATATTTATGATTTTGTTAACTTTAGAAACTTGAAAGTTGTAAAACAATTGTAGTGAGTTAAATTTACACTTTTTTAACATTACCAGTATCACAAATTCACTGTTTCCAAACTATTTGAACTAAAAATATGCAACAAACATGTACAAAGAGCATATATTTTAGGGTCTCATTTTTTGTTGACAAATTTTATTTATATTTATACTGGCAGGAAGTTTAAATATTTTTCCACTCCAAATAAAACTAACAATTAAGGGAGGGGACCAAATTAGAAATAGGGTTAGAAGTTTGGATTATCTGAAACAAATGCATGTGAAAGATATACATCAATACAAAATTCTAAATCTGGGTATTTCAGTTACAGGTTGATTTTGTAAGTAATTTGAACAGAGAGATTAGACATAATCTTCTAAAAACTTGATAAAGTTATTTTCTCTTGTAAAAAACACTAAATACTGGACTAAAAGGGGGAAAAAATTGGATTGTAATAAGAAACTCAAGTTCTTCATCACATAATAAGTTTTTATTTAACCACTAACTTTGAAGTTTGTACCATGAACCAAGATGTAAGACTTACGTGATTAGAAATTGAATCAGTTTATACATATTTGAAATAATAATAATACTGCATGTGTATGAAAGCCTTTTACTCTGTCACGATATTATTCCTGATCACAATATAAACAATAAATATGAAGAAAGAAAAGACCTTAAAATATCTTAATGTTCATAAGTAACTGTACAACAAACTTGCAACACTCACAAATATAGATAAATGAATCATGTAAGGGTTTATGGTATATACGTGATAAAAGTATACTTAGTAATTACTATTGTGAATTAGTTTTTTAGACCTAATGTTTAATTCACACACACACATACCTGAAACACAGAAACTTCAACGGATGTGTAGCATGATAACCATTTGATTAAAATCAGATGTTTATAGTATCCACTGGTGAAAGGCTTGTAATTCTCTACTCTCCACCAGTCTAGAAGATCCTGACATTATAACTGTTACATATCATTACTGTAAAAAATAAAGTTTAAATCCACAATAATGGGTTACTTTGTACAGTGTGTGTATTCACTTACTGTTAGAATATTGAATATTGTATCTTTGTTTTTTCCCTTTACAATAGATAGTGGGTACATGCCCACAGAAGTCACGAGAATTTCTGGACTTTTGACAAATTATTAGTCTTTTCAGAATGCTTTTTCAAAGCATGTGACTATCTGTCTCAGTTATATATTTATAGACTATTGGAAAACATAACACCGTAACCTCTTTTTTTTGGAATGTAAAGACTTAAAAGAATTAAAAACTAATGTATAACAGTTCTCATTTCAGCAACTTATTGTTTGCAACTTTGTTTTGTTTTATAGAAAAAGTTATTTATCTGTTACTAGTTGAATTGTTTCCAGAATGTAACCTTAAATAAACTTCTATATATGTAATAACTGTAACTTGATTCATGGTAACAATAACTCAGAAAAACACAACTTACTATGTATACATAGTGATGATGGATCTTACCATGCATCTGTGTCACAGAAACAGAGCCTAAAGTCAAGCCCAGATACCTGATAACATGTAAATGAAATAGACCTTTGATGTTCATCCTGTAAAAGAGTGGTACTGCCAGTGCAATTTGGAAACTACAAACCCTAGATGTTCTGCTTATATTGTAGAAATTAAATTATTATATCTAGTAACATTTGAGTTTGCAGCATATAATTGAAACTGTTCTGATAAAAAAAAAAAGAGGACTTCATTTACTTCAATGAAATGTTTGCATAAAAACCATTATTCCCTTCCACTATGTCTATAGCAGGCTTACTTGTGTTTATTTATCTTAGTAGGATTTTGTAGAGGCAGTAGAAGTTGCAGTGTTCTGCTGTAATTTATGTGGTTTTATATTGTAAAACAGCGTTCCAAATGGTTACTGCTAAATAACATTTGCTTTGGATAATAATGTTTTGTGGCACAAAGAATTATTGCAGCTGAACTAATGGTTATGGTTATTTCAAACATTGTTTATCAGTGACAGATGCAGTCACAATGTCTTTGAAACTGTATCTATACACCAAGTTTTACATTTAATTCTTTCTTAGTATCATCAAAACAAACATGTATTTCATAAATAAACTTACTATTCTGATATTGTATTGTATTGTTTGGAATGTTAAGTTTATTTATTATATCTGCTATTGTGTAGCTATATAATGTGAAGAACTTAATAGTGTCCATTGACACATTTTATTCATTTCACCTATCCAGTGTGTAGGTTTTTCTCATATTGACTACAAAGAACATTCAAACCAACAGTATGTTTGGAAACATATTTGGTTAATGCTAGTTCTTGTCCTACAACTCTGCAAAGAATGGTATAATCTTTGGTAGAGGCAAATCATCCACATGAGGTTTCTTCCACTTAGATCAATTTAAAATAAAAGTGAATTATATTCTTTTTGTTTTATATATATGCTGAACACCCATCTTTAAAAAACAATTGAATTCTAATTTTATCAGACTTCAGTCTTCACTTTTGTCCACTAGATGGCAGAGATAGACTTCGTAGCTGTTCTCATGAGATACCAATTGAGATCTAATATCAGTAAAATTTAGTTAATTTTGAGTATGACATTTATTAAAGTAATATACAATTTTGATTTGCTTGATAAAGTTATTTTTTTACATGCTTATAGGTGACGACACCTTGAAACTATGGGATATTCGTAACTACAAACATCCGTTAAACTCAGCAGATAACTTGTTCAACAGATATCCAGTGTAAGCAATTAACTTAAATTTTCACTTTAAGATAGTAAATCAAGTTTTCATTCTTTTCTAGTGTTGAATTGGGCCAAAGAATGACAGGAATCTAATATACTGTGCTTAAGTCAACAAAGGTTATTATATGCATTGACAATTACTAGTAAATAATTACATTGTTTTCTTTTAGTATATGTAATAGAGGTCGTACAACTATCCAATAGTTTTCTTTCTGTAGAGATCTATAGTTTAAACTACTTGGTTTTTACAGCACTGATTGCATGTTTAGTCCTGATGATAAGCTGTTGTTCACTGGAGTCTCTCTAACAAAAGGAGATACTACTGGGAAACTAGTTTTTCTAGATTGTGACACTTTCCACCAAATGTATGAAATAGAGGTTTCTGATGCTGTAAGTTTCATTATAATATAATCATTTGATTTATACATATATCTTTTTCTTATAGTTTGAAAAATCTTTCAAAATATGTTAGTGTTTATTTCATGGTTGTTTTCTTCATTTTATACATAAATCTGACAAATTGGTAAATAACTAATATTTTTAGTAATAAACAATTAATGAAAAATTCTCAACAAAAAAGACTATATTTTTTCCAGTAATTGTTTGTGATGTGTATGGAAGATATTTTAGTTGTTGAATGATTTGAATTTAAATGTCTCATTATTCACATCATATCTGTTATATGATTTTTTATACATGTTACAGTCAGCATTGTAAGGAATGGTTGTCTGATGTATCTTCAACCTTTTTTTCCGTTCAATTCGTACATTTCTAACATTACAGAAAAGGGGACTTGCACCTTTAAGGTTAGGTGTTGTATTTGTATGTATTAAAAAAAAACTATGCTGGATAAAATGAAAAAGTTTTAATATAAATAAACATCTAACACTGAAGTTTGGCATCTTTTGGTTTTATGTTGCAGCTTGCTGAACATATTATTGAAGTAAATAATAAAGTTAATATATAATCATATGTTTCTTTTGTAGGGAATTATAAGAAGCTTATGGCATCCAAAGCTTAATGAAATCATTGTTGGCTGCAGTAATGGGTTAGTTAAAGTCTATTACAACCCTGATTTAAGTGAAAGGTAAGTTAAAGTATCAAAACAAACTAGAGTTTTTTGGAATTTATACCATTTTTAGGGAATTCCTTTCTTATTATCCTATTCTTCAGATACTTACATTAATATAGGTTATTGGTGGTGGATGATCTTTCACAATACTTTGTTCTTGTGTCTGTTAGACGTTCTTATATAAGAGTTTATGCAAACATAATGTGTTGCTTTTTTTTTTCAATATTTTCTCCCACCAAAGAGTAAGAAATTCCAAAACAAATACTCACCTTCTGACACTGAGAGTCTTCTTTCCTCATGAGTTTGCACATTCTGCCAAAGATATTTGTAAGCCACCAGTCTTGTGAAAACTTCCACTTAATTTCACATGAACCAGTGCCACTGCACCGTGCTGCAGAGCCTTCCACCAATAGGGGTGCAACACACCTCCATATGCAGTTGCTCCTTCTACATTCTTGATCGTGAATCTTCATTCTTTTCTTTGGCACTGTAGTTTTGCTTAGTTTGCAATTTTTGTAAACATTTTTTTATATTTCAATTTCTTACTTGATTGAGTTTATTAAACTTTATATGAATTAACAATGTTATGAAAATATTTCTGATGCTGATGTGAGTTGATAATTTCCTCACACAGAACAAGTTCATGCAATTTCTGGTGGAAGTTCTTTTTTTCCATTGTGTGGAGGGGTTCATTATGCAGCTGAGACCTCATGCTCCTCTTCTTTCCACTTGTTTCCCTTCCCTGTTTTTGTGCCTGCTATTTCTATTTCTAAAGCTTGCTTTTTCTGTCTACTACTACCCTACCTTGGTACCTCTCCTCCCTTTACCTTATGTTGGTAGCCATTATCTGTTCCCCTCATGACTTTTCTCGGAAATCTCAATCTCTCCTTTTTTTTGCTTCCATGGTCCATTCCACCTCCTCTGCCATTTTTCTTCTTCTCTGGTTCATTTGTTGTTGGAAGGATACTCTCCTATCCCAAAGCTGTTTCCTTTCCATCTTTCCCCAGGACCTTTGTTTTTGCCTCTTCTCACCACCCAACCTAACTTGGTGATGTCCATGATTCTCTAATATCACGGGCTTCATCTACCCACCATCACTTCCCTCACATCTTTAATTCTTGACCCACCAGTTCTGTACATCATCCTAGCCCTTCTCCCACTCCTAGTCTTATGTTCACTAAACCATCCATCTGACGTCTAACTTGCCAGTCCAGTAGCTGGTGATCACCTAATATTTTTCTACTTTTCCCCCATTGGTCTCATTGGGGGGTATGTATCATGTTTCAGTGGTCATGCCTTTCTCCCATACAATATCTCTTATCTGTGCTCATTCAGGTACCAAACCGATTCCTGTCTTCTGTCTGGGCCATTTGTTGTTTGATAAATTCTTCCTTTGTTAAGGATTCTAATCATTGTCCTTTTATTTCTAGATATCTCTCCTATACCTGAGTTATCTCTCCTTCCACTCTTCAGGATGGATCCACCTGATCATCCATCTGATCTATACCTCTTTGGGGGTGTATGTACATAAATTATCTGGTGCATTTTCTCATCAGAGTCATCACCTCCCACATTCTCTTGTTGTTCTTATTCATTGACTTTTGATGCTTTTCTCCAGGCTGGCATGTAGACTACCACTTGCCCTATCATCACCAACTATCTGCTTCACTTGGCTGTCTCACCTTCACTTGGATTTAGACTTCCTCCAATTCTCCCTTCTGTCTATTGGCAGGTGAGTGTGCAAAGAATTTTACTCACCTTGCAATCACTATAGAATCCCACTAGGTGGCTAGTGTTGCCTCCCAGAGTATATTTACCCATAATTCTGCATCAAACAAGGGGTATTATGCAAGGCCACTTGAGATTTCATCGTGGTATTTCTATATCTAGCTATATTATATGTTTGTTCCAGACTGTACCCATTCTATGGACTATCATAGAAAAAAGTCAGCATCGAAGTACTGTTTCTGCCCTCTTCTCTGGTTAGTGTTTGCTGGCTTTTAAATATAGGGTTTCGTGGTCACCTGTTATACTTTCACTAGTAATAAAATCTTTCCAGGCATTCTCCAGGTCTCCCCTACATGAATTCTCCTCCCCCATTGAGTGGAGCATGGGAGACCCTTGCGAGTTACTATCTCCCAGTCACTGAAGTGATGGAGAACCCTTACCTGTTGAGACCTAACAGAGTGTAGTGCAGGTCCTCCAAATATATAACTATGTTACATCACAATCTACCTCTACTGCCTGTCCATTTCACATAGTACTAACAAAAAAACTCCCTACTCCCAAGGCTAGCATGCAGCCCATCAGCCCATAGAGACTGATGTTGAGTAGTGGTGTATATCAGACAGTGTCCTTCTCCTGCAGCTGGCATGGGGCCTGTAGAGATGATGTGAATACACCATATGCACCAATGATACATCACTCACCAATCCTATTCCCACAACTGGCATAGTGCTCTCAGTGACTTATGGTCAAGTAGAGGTTTATATAAGCATCCATACAAACATGATTTTATACAGTGCCCTCCTCCCGAAGCTGGTATGAGGCGTGTAGTGGAGAAGAGCATGGATACTTATCACAAATGCCTTCCCCAGCTGGTTTTGACCCTTTGAGTTCTAATGGTATAGGAGGTAAACACACAATATATAGTCTAAATAAATCACAGCCTCACTACACATATTGGCTGTCTGACAGTTTATTTGCAAGTTCTCAGATGGCCATGTACCTATTCTGCCTGTCTATGCAATACATTCTTATATTCTCTTACATGGGCAAAGAGTAAACCCTGGATGAGATAAGACGAGATGCGATCTCCCACAAGTGTGCCCCTTGAAGCCCCTGCCATAGAGTGTCACACTTCATTAAATTCCTTTGAACACTTTCCGAATGGAACTTATCTAACTAAATTTTGCACCAGTCCCTCCACCATCTTAGTGTGAGATTCTAGCTCTCTGTGTGCAGAATTATTCATTTCAGAAACTAACATTTTCCTTACCTGAAAATGTACTTCGAATAGATACTTACCTCCACACATATTCCTACCCATCTTCTCCACTTTCCTGGTGCACATATCTTTAATGTCACATTAGAGGATTAGGATTCACAAGCACGAATGTAGAGGGAGTCACTGCACATGGAGATGTGTTGCACTCCTGTTGGTGGAGGGTTCTGCATCAGACCATGGTGCAGATTCACATGGTTTCACGTGAAATTAGGTGGGCATTTTCACAAGGCTGGTGATTGCAAACCTCTTTGGCAGAACATGCAAACTCAGGAGGAAAGAAGCTGTCTGTGTGAGAAGCGAGTAGGTATCAGAAATACATTTTCAGGTAATGAAAATGTTAACATTTCCATAATGCATCAATTAAACTATAAGTATTACATTAATTTCTCTTTGGTATTGTAAGGTGCCTGAAAAATATTATAATGGAAGCTCATGGATGTTTTTCTATATCGTTTTACATTGCATGGAATTATGGGATGTATGGAATGATGTGAAATGTTTAATGCTTTACCATATGCTACAAAACACATGATCTTTGCTTGCAAAAAAATATTATGGTAATATTTGTAATAGGTCAAAGTAGTTGGATTGTATCTTACCTATTTCGAATGAGTAGAAAACTAAATGAAAAAGTTAGGCACATTTGAACAATAGACTTTTTTTGATAAGTGGAGAACAGCCTAACACTTGATAAAACTCAAGATTTGGGATTATAACTTATATCTCTTAGATGCTTAATTGTATTTTGTGACACTTTCTTTATTAAGGAATTAACAGGGAAAAACGTTTTCCCTTCTATAGTGTTACAAGTAGTTTGTAGGTCTTGTGTTAGTGTTTGATACGTTAAATGTTTAATTTTTTTTCTGACTATAGAGGTGCTAAACTTTGTGTAGTGAAAACTCAGAGAAAGAAGAAACAAGTGGAAGTTATTGTTCAACAGCATATCATAACGCGTAAGATATTTTACACTCAAGTAGCTCAAAGAATTTTCAATATTAAGGTACATAAATCTGATTTAAAGAACAAAACACATAAGATAAGCTTTTCACTGCATAGATAAATTGTCAGGTTTTTATAGAGCCATGATTCTTTACAGTAGATGTCTGTGAGTAGTTGGCGATCAATTTCAACAATAAATGGACAGCACACAACCCACTTGTTTTAAAATAATATATTCAAAACAAGTCAAACGTATATACAAATGTATGTTACGCAGTTAATCACCACAGTTATACCCAGAGCTTTAACCCTTTTCGCGATAGTCTTGGTATATAATACATGAGTTGTTATACACATTTGCACACATTAAGTATTTATAATATAACTTTTAATGCTGTAGGTGTATGTTCACAAAATTTGGTAGACTTTTAGTAATGATTCCAAGTCTTTTGTACACAGAATATCTGATTTTTTAATGAAGTATTTTTACTGAAGATTTGTTTGTCAAAATATTGAGTCTGTTTCATTACTAGTCCAAGTGCGAAGTGATTTTCAAGCCATGATTAAAAAACTATTCTTCGTCCCAAAAATCTCAAATAGTATTTGTGTGTGTGATCTCTAAAACCTGCTAAATACATTGCAAACATTTGTTTTCAGTAAACCTTCATATTTTGTCTGTTATTTTTTCTACCCTAGCTATACAGGGTCTGTCAATTTGACTGACCTTGTAACCACCATAAAAAAATTAGGAATTAGGATATAAGTCATACTTTTTTGTTCTAGAATGACTACAAATTATAACACAATAACACAAATGTTTAGTCCAAATAGCTTAAATCTCATAACACTATACATTTATATATGTATAATATTTTCATTATAATGACCTTCCAGTCATGCCTGGCTAACAATACAGAAGTTACAATTATGCAGCACACGTGCATTCATGTTACAGTATCCAATGGTACAAAACTGACCTTTAGTCTAACAACAAATATGTTCGATGGGAATCAGAATTTGATAATAATTAGTCTTTACAAAGTGACCTTCTTGGCTGTGTTTTAATGGACTAGTCACATTTCAGTTATTATACATTATATACATATATAGATTATTACTATTTACAAACAAGTTCTTAAACTTATCTTTCTTAAAACATAGAACACTAAATGAAGAAGTAAAGCAAA